CCACTCCAGCAACCCTCAGTTTGTTTCCTGAGATTAAGAGTCTCTTATGGTTTGTCTCCCTCTCTGGTTTCATCTTGTTTCATTTTTTCCTCCCTTCCCCTATGATCCTCTGTCTTGTTTCTCAAATTCCTCCTATCAGTGAGATCATATGATACTTGTCTTTCTCTGATCGACTTATTTCGCTTAGTGTAATACCCTCTAGTTCCATCCACATCGTTGCAAATGACAAGATTTCATTTTTTTGATGGTTGCATAATATTCCATAGTATATATATATACATACCACATCTTCTTTATCCATTCATCTGTTGATGGACATCTAGGCTCTTTCCATAGTTTGGCTATTGTGGACACTGCTGCTATAAACATTGAGGTGCACGTGCCCCTTCAGATCACTACATTTGTATCTTTGGGGTAAATACCCAGTAGTGCAATTGCGTGAAAAGCATCATCAGAGTAGTGCCAACTGGGATCAAGTGGCACTGATAAAAATTTGCCTGGTACAGATGTAGCATCATGTTTAAGTTTTATGAATAATAGAGCAGAAAGCATGCCTGGTGAAATGCATTTTAAAAGAACTGCCAGACTGCCTTGCTCATACTCCTTGTTTAGGCTGCCCTCAATGTACATCTGATACCCAACATGCTCTATTAGGACAGCTCATGTGAGCCTGTTTGAGACACTGGAGTGCTGGTGTCCTTCATGGGAGCTGCTGACATGACTGCCCTGGGTGCTTTTACTACAACTTGTGGAAAGTAGAAGGGATGAGTTCCCGAGGCATTCTGGAATACTATGTTTCTCAAGCAGACATCACCCCACTCAGAATTCCCCAGAACATCTCTCTACTCATCTGTCTTCAACCACTGTTATTTCCTATATTCAAAATGACACAGTGATGAGACTATTAAAACAAAAGAAAACAAAACAACTTCCCCCCACCCCCCAAGGATATCAACATCAGCAGTGGAAAGAGGAATGTTAGCATTAAATCAGAGCTCCTAGCAAGGGTGGTTTAGCACAGGAATAGAACCAATTGGGTGAGCACACCTTCAGAAAGATGGTGCGCCACCATTAGGATCCGATTCTCCACTGGCTTTCTCTTTATTGTATGAAGTCCAGTACCCATGACAACAGAGGGAAGCAAAAAATTTGGACATGCCATGAACCTGAAAAATAACAAACTTGCAAGTGTCATCTTACCTGGTCTGTAGTTTCAGGCGGGGAGCAGAAATTGTGTATAACCAATCCAAGAAGAAGAAGTATGAGATTTTGTAGCATGGTGAGAAACTATTTGCTCCTTCCGATGCCAGGCACCTGTCAGAACTACTCGGCTATTCTATTGTAGTCTGATGAACTCCTAGTGAATTCTCTTTCATTTCAGTATTTGCTTTTAAACCCTTTCCCCTCTTGTTCCTGAATTGAAGCAGATGATATGTGAGAACAACCTCGAGACAGGAAAAGTGGCAAATCCAGGGGTCATGGTGAAACTGGCCACTCTCAACTCTATATATGTCTTGGTTGAATAACAGGATATCCTGAAGGGGCTGAGGCGGAGACATGCTCTGGAATTTTTGTGCCTTATGAAACTCCCAAGAACAAACTTCTGCCTCCTACTGCTTGGCCCATCCCACTTCTGGTTCTGCCTCCTCCTGGACCCACAGCCCTGCCAACATGTAGACAACCACACCATGGAAAACTGCAGGCCTCTGTCTCTGAATCTTAAGTCCCAAGCTTGCTGCCAGGCAGTATTTGTGGGAATGCCCATAAGTGGGCAATGATCCCACAGAGAGAATGTTGCAGAAACTCAGGGCCTTCACTTGGGAGAGGGTGGTAGCCTCACTTGGGATGGCTGGCAAACTCTACTGCAAAAAAATGTCTCTTTGCAGTCTCCGACAGTTGGGGTTTCAACTCATCCTTTCCCCTCTTCCATGTCATGTCTTAACAAATGACCGGGCCGGTAGGTCTCATCTTCCCCTTCAAGGCCCAGATCAAATGCCACCTCTTACAGGAAGCCTTCCTGTCCCGCCCCTCCAATACCACCTTGGAAACTCTCCCAGCATTTTGCACATAATACTACAAAAGCTCAGTCATATCTGTCACAATCCATCTGTCTATATGTCAATATCCCATGTCCAGTTGTGAATTCCTTGAGGACAGGGGCAAGCCTTCATCCTCTCTGTACATCCGAGAGCCTAGGGCAGAGACGTGCATTTGAAAATAATAAAAACAAATAGACCAAGTCAACATTTGTTGAAAACTTACTATATGCTAGACTTCTCCATGGATTACCCTTTTTAATCCTCACAGCTCTTGGTGAAATAGTTAGGATTATTTCCCCCACTTTATAGATAAGGCAATGGAGGCAGAGAGGTTTGGCAACTTTTCTAAGGTAACACAGTTAGTAGGTGGGCATCCAGTTTTCAAACTGTGTGGCCCCAGAGCCACTACCGTTAACCACTACCCTCTACTGCCCAAAACAATGAGTATCTAATGCATCAATAAGTAGGAGGTGGTGCTCCAGTTTCATGGACATGATGGAAAAGTATCAGGCTCAGAACCAGAAAGGATAAAGTCTGGGCTTATCAACAAGATAAGATATGAGGGTGTGTCTCATGACACTGACTTAACTGAGATACTCATGCGTTATAGATACTAGTTTTGGTTAAATAATTCTCTCCCTGCTGTCTTTCTCTCTTTGAATTTTGGAAATAGCATTATATCATATGGGTCAATAATCTAAGAAACTTCTAATACAGACAGGCTCTTCAGAGGCTAACCCAGAGGTCTGAATGGAAGATGCCAGATGAGGAAGTTCTTAAAATCCCTTGGTTCAGTGTGTTTCAATCCTGGTTTAGAATCCTGGAGGAGTTTAGAAGAAATTCCCCAATGTCAGACTCTTGTCCAGAACAATCAAATCAGAACTTCTGGGTGTGGGGCACAGAACACATAGTTTTAAAACTTCCTGGGTGATGCTGCTTGCATGGGACTGTTGCTTGAGGAAAAATGAACAATTATTGAGTGAAGCCAAAGAGATCTTGAGGTTTATTTGTCACAGAAGGTGTCTTACCTTCACTTTCCCTTACACCAGGGCAAGAGGTTGGAGACTTCTTTCTGATTCTTTTCACTCTGAAAGACATGAATAAATATCTGGGGCTTAGAATGGGCTAGATCCCTGGGGAAATAATACAATGAACCCATACTCGCATTTCCTAAAATAGTTCTGGGAGATGCTGCAGGAGGACCAGGGGAGTAATCTCTCATCAAATAGTTTGGAAAACTCTGCCCTCGATGTCCCTTTCTTACGTATTAACCGTGCTCATTAGCACATTAGATGTTCTGAGAAGTCCTGCAGTAAAGCATAATGTAACAAAACCAAACGGAAACAGTTCAACGTTGCTTAAAGCAATATTTTCCAGGTGTTTTTTTTTTTTTTTTTAGACTAAGAGATACTTTCTGTCTTTGCAAACTAAACATCCAGATCCAGTGTTTTATTGATCTCTCTTAGAGAAACACTGTCTGGGATTTTAGCAGGCTGAATATTCTATTTTTAAGTTTTTGGGAAATAGAAGTCAGCCTGCTAGTGGCCATGGGAACTCTATAGCCTAGGATCTGTTCATATACTTCATTAATTAGTTGCATAAAAAAATACATATTACTAACATGGCTTTGTTTAGAAATTGTCTGAATAGTTTTGTTAATTAATTTTATTTCTGTTAAGCTCATTTGATTGCTATGAACAGAGATGCTTCAAGTTATTTCAAACCCCTACCACTCCCTGTACCTGCAATTAACAAGCAAAGTGCTTAGCATGGTGTCTAGCACATAGTGGGTGCTCCATCACTCTTAACCATTATTATTATATTATTAAAATATGTCAGTGTCAGAAATGGCAGCTACATAGATCTCTACCCTTCTCCCAGTGCAGCTCCGAGTTGGGTCTGGATTTCCTCTGTCCTGAGTCACCCCAGTTCTGCTGACCTGTGGGTCCTCCCTTAGTGGGATGTCACTTTTTTGACTGCCATCCATATACCCTTTTTGGCAGATTGTTGTAATCTCTGTCTCTAACCATTCAGAGTCATTTTGAGACAAGGGTTTTTAACCAGCAACATTTCTTTAGGCAGTTTGCTCTCTCCAATATCCCCTACCCTGCTGCTGTCACTTGCTTTAGATGCGGGAGTGGCTTTCCTCCACTCAAGGCTGCCCTTCTGCATTCTCATGGTGTCCTGCTTGGTCCTCCTGGGTTAGCACACACCTCCTTTGCTCCTGTCATCTGTTCTCAGTGTGGTTACTCAAGAGGGGCTGGTTGCCTCTTGAGTGAGAAGATTCACTTCCTGATTGGAATCTGTAGTTTTCCCGTATTGGGAAAGGCAGAAGATGAACTGAGACCTTTCCTGGGTGACACTGTTGAGCATCTTCTGTGGCCCGAGGATTCTGGTTTGTTAGTGTTTAACTGCTCCTTTCTCTACATGGTACCCGCTACTGAGAATTCAGTCCTTGGTCACTTTGAGTAACAAAGCATTTCGTGTTTGCTTTGAGTAGCATGCCAAGAAGGGGGTCATCACCTTCACCATCATTGTCATTGTCACCGCCATCCTCCTCCCCCTCCTCCTCATCACAAACCCAAGCACAGCTTTTATATGTGCCAGGCATTTTTTAAATATTTAACTCAATTTACTTAATCTTCCCCACAAGTCTATGACATACGTATTATCGTTATCTTATCACCATCCCCATTTTGCAGACGAGGAGACTGAGGCAGAGAGAAGTTGAGTAACTTGTGTAAGGTCACAAGGCTAGTAAGTGGCGGAACAGGGATTCGAACCCAGGAGTGTGGAACCAGAGGCTGATGCTGAGGCATTCACGTGACATGCTTTGGTTCTTGAATCTTGAGCAAGGTCCTAATGGACCTTGTGAGGTGGCCAACAGGGCAAGAGTTAATGCTTCTGAAGTAGGACAAACCTAGCCGTTTACCTGGGGATCAATTGTAGTTTTTGCTTTGCTGGAAAAAAGGGCAGAAATGGGGGATTTAAGGTTGATTTTCTGGTTAGAATTCAGGTTTCGTTCTCTCAGCAATTTTTGCTGGACTGAAGAAGAAAATGATCACAGGATAGCAGCTGGGTTTTGATCTTTCTTGAGCACCAATCTAGAAAATTGAAACTGTTGCTTCATGTAGTTTCACAAATCAAACAGCTCCTAGAATTTTTCCCCTTTTTGAATTTTCATTGTGGGAAGTAAAAATTTAGAAAAGGGAAAATAATCATATGTCCCTGAAAACTTCCAGTAGGAGAAATCAGTGGAAACTCTTTGCAGATGCCTCCTATCCTGACTGAGTCCTCTCTGATGTGGTCCTTGATAAGTTTAGATGCTGACCAATGTGAAGCAAACAGGACTAACAAAGCAGGCTTTCAAAATCTCAGTGCACGGTATTAAATCTCAGTTTTACCATTAAAGGTAATGTCTCGGTAGGAGAGATGGATTTCTCTGCTTGAGCATGTGGTGTTCATGTGGAGTAAGCATTTTCAATGGACCTAGTTTTATTAAACAAATAGTTTGGGGTTACATTCACCTGGACATTTTTGTGTGGGTGTGTCTATGTACTCATTGGACAGAATTTTTGGCACCTAAAACATCTTGGCCAAAGTACAAAATACTTCCTTCTCTCCTTTACATCTTATTGTAACATTGAAACAATTCAATAGCTATTTATATTCCAAATATATAAATTAGGAACTCCCATTTGTCTTCATTTAAAAAAATCTTTCTTGTACTGATCTGCTGAGCAATAATGAATTCTTACTTTCTTTGTCCTTCTCCCTTCCCTGCCTTGGGGAAGAATATCTTGTGTTTTTATGGATCAAAGGACTTAAGTTAAACTGAGAGTAGTCTATAATTTTTTTAAATCATGTTTTGAAATAACTTCTGTTTAAAAAGTCTTCAAGTGAAAGTCTAAATAATATTTTATTTAGTTTGATTTATATAGATAGCTGCCCCAAATACCCACCTTTATTTTGATTGTATAGACATGAGTCATATCTAACAGAATGATTTTTTTCTTGATTGTTATCACACTGTAAGTTTCACTTACCTATTCATTTATTCAACAAACATTTATGGAATGTCAGACATTATGCTGGGCTGGGGACATAGAGGTGGATAAGCCACGTTGCATTGTGCATTATTGCTTCTGCCATACTTTGGCACGTATTACCTCACTTAAACCTTATTTCAACTTTGCAAAATAGACTTGGCAAAGAGTGGTATTTTGATTTCGTAGATGTGAAAATGGAGGCATGAAGGGGTTGAGTGATTTAGTCAGGGTCAATCAATTAGTATCAACTAGTAATAGATGCCAAGTAATCTCACTCTATCTTCCTGTTGGGGTAGACTGCCATTCTGATACCCGATGCCTAAGCTCATGAGTGGATTATCTGTGGTTCACCTAAGTCAGTCATTAAAATGCTGAACTGAATTGGGTGCTATTTGTTGTCACACTGAAAGAAAGCTGTGGTTGCAGAATCTTGAAGAG